CACTTGTCAGGCCATGTTGTGGCAGCGTCCCATACAAGGTGGAGGAAGATGGGCACAGATGTTAGCCCAGGGCCAGTCTTCCTCAGCAAAAAGAGGAGGATTGGCATAGATGTTAGCTCAGGGCTGATCTTCCTCACAAAAAAAAGGGGGTATTACTGCACACTTGACTCATCTTCTCTTTCAAGACGAGCTTCTATTTTTCCAACAGCCATGTTGTGGATTAAGATGAACTTTTATAGATGTAACAGACACATTTTGGATTGAATATTGGGGAATATAAAGTAGAAATATCACTACTAATTTGAGTTTTATAATAATTAGAATAATTTTATATAGTATAGATAATTTATATATATATACATAACAACATACTACTTAATTAATTTGATACATACCTTTTCATTTATATGGCAAACTCTAAGGGGACCTCTGAGAATTTATCTTTCAATTTGTAATTATAAAAGAATGGGGAAGACAGCATAAGAAAAGGAGACCACATAACACGAGAGCAGGGACGTGCTATAGCAAAACAAGAGTCAAGAGACCTGCATTCTGGTCCTGACTGGATCATTACCACAGAACATTACTTTGGATATGCCACTTAACTTCTTTGAGACTCAATTTCTTTCCTTCAAAAATAAAGTGGTCTGAGTTACTTTAAAATTGTAGAATTTAATAAGTTAGTGACTTAGAATATAATGACTAAGAAGAGATTTAAGTTGTGTTAGAACACTCAAATTTAAAAAAGGAATCACATTCAGGTACAAGAGAACTCAGGAAAACAGCACTTGGACTAATGAACATTATCTTCATTCAAATTGACTTCAAAAATTACTTCAGTTTTGGTGAGAAAGAAAATTAATCATTACCCAAGTAACTGCTAACTCAGAAACTGAGAGACAGAAAGGGCCTTGGAGGTATAATCCTCTCTGTATTAACAAATACCATATGGAAGCTCACTAGTACAGAGCCTAGAACTTAGGAGGTATGCATTTCACGGAGCTGTTTGTGCTATCTGTTTTGACACAGCACTCAGTGAAGTGACCACACTTCTGAATCTTTCTTCTTTAGTCTCTAGTATTATTTCCCCCTCACAGCCCCACGTAATCAATTTGATGATCATTCCTTCTATATGAAAATTAGTAATAAAATGGGACATGGGCAAGGCTGTAGACTACAGGATCTAGCTAGAAATCTACTTTCCGAATGAAAGAGCATCATAATGAAATAGAATTAATGATCTTTAGAAAAGGTTAATCTGTGGTTTCAAAATCTACCTAACAACGTTAGCATCTGGACTCTATTCTACTAATGAGGTATTAATCAAATTTTTCATGATATCCTTAACAAAAATATATATTTTAGGACTATTTTTATACAAACTTAAAATAACAAAAAGCTTTACAGAATTTTACACTTCCAGAGTTTTACAAAATATAAATAATGAGCAAATAAAAAATTGATAACCAATCTTATTTTCTACATGATTTATGGAAATTGCTAATACTACAGGAAAGTTACTGATTTGGGAAATGCTGGTCACTAAGATTTTACTCATAAAAATTAATCATGAACAGGTAAAGCAAATCACTTTCTGTGTATCACATGCACGTATCCTTTACGGATGCTGCAAGTGCATTATATTATTCTGTATTTTTGCTGCTAGACTCATGAGACTGAAGTTATATCTTTTTAGGCTGCTGTTCTTATGCAGGAGCAAGGAAGTCACTGTCAGTATCATCCACCTGCACTGGCCGTCAGCCAGCAAACAGCGAGGCTCTGGTAGATGGGCAGAGGACTTGTCTGTTTGCTCTGGTTACTTTCCCTTGAGTCTGGTCTCTGAGGAAGGTGGACTTGGGGCACTATGCTTGGGTGATGGGTACCAAGATAACATCCACAATCTGGTGCTAGGACAGAACTTCATATAAGCCATCTCCTTTGTCAGGTTACCATGTAGATAGAACAGGGCCATAATCAGATTACCTAGTTACAGATCACACAATGGATTTGTTTCTGCATCCTTACAGCCGGCAGTAAATTGTCTTCAGAGGTAATATAGCACAGGGTCGAAGAGGACAAACAGTGGGGTCTCACTCCCTGGGTACAAATCCTGGCGCTGTCATTCGCTGGCTGTGTCACCAACAGATACATTACTTACACTCTCTCTCTCAGTTTCCTCATTTGTAAAACAGGGAAATAAAAGTCAGTAGCTCTTTGGCATTATTGAGTGGATTATATAAGAAAAATTATCTATAAAGGGCTGGCACAGTGCCAAGAAAACTGTAACTGTTAAGTATACTTTTTGATTTTTATTTTTTTTGATGAGGAAGATGGTCCCTGAGCTAACATCCATGTTCACCTTCCTCTATTTTGTGTGTGGGACGCCGCCACAGCGTGGCTTGATTAGTGGTGCGTAGGTCCATCCATGCCCGGGATCCGAACCTGCGAACCCTGGGACCACAAAGCTGAGCGTGCAAACTTAACCACTATGCCACTGGGCCGGCCCCTGTTAAGCATACTATTTAAAAAAAATGATTGTTATCATCTCAGCCATCCTGTTGGGCAGTAAAGAAAAAGGTAGGGGGGTTCATTTTCCACTTGGGTTAGATTGTTAAAGTGAAAACGGCATCCTGCAGCACCCCCAACCCACCTCTCCAATATGACACCAGCAGGAGTTACTTTTAAAGAACAGACGAAACTTAAGAGACAAAGTTTCAGAGCCAAGACATCCAGCCAGCCCTCCACACAAGGCAGTTCTTCCCGTGCAAACCTTGGAGGTTCCGGGCTTCATTCTTACGCCTTCCCGTATTAGGTCACAGCACAACTGCCTAAAGATGAAGCTATAAACGTTTGTAGATTGAGGAGGAGGGAGGTGACAATCTTCTAAGGTTCCGGGTACGTCAGAGTAAGTACGGGACTGGATGACAGGGAACACAGTCAGGTCAGAATGGTCAAGGAGCCCTAGCACGTCTGACACCACGAGCTTCAAACGGAAAACACATCTTGACAGAGAGGTCTTCAGGAGATGCGATAAATTTTTTTCCGATGTTCCATTGACATTTTATGTGTTTTTCAATAACATATTTTATGCTCAGTCTTATTACACAACTAGACACTAATGCAGGGAGATAAACTGTCATTTTTTTAAACTGCAAAAACCTTGACAGTCTAAAATGGGGCAGTCTCCACTTGAATGAAGAAAAAATCGAGAAGTAAGCTTTCCTTCTATATACTTTGGGATACATCTTGGGATTAAAAAACACACTGAAAAATTCCAACCAAAAACAAACAAAATTACATAAAAGGGATATAATAGTGGTTTCTGAAGACAAAAAATAATTATACATAACTGTGTAACTAACGTAAGTTTGAATAGTTGAATCAAGTTAACATGTTTCCCAAAAACATAACTACAGAAACTGGCATGACAGAAGAAAAACTTGACAATAACATAAAAAGAATGCAAGAACATTATCAAAGAACTATCCTTCCAATAATGTTCTCAGTCCTAAGAAATTTATTAATTGAAGTCTTTCAAATATTCAAGGTCAGACATTCCATATTACATATTCTATTAAAAACACAGAAAACAAAAAAAGAAAGCTAGTCAATACATTTAAAAAAGCAAACATAATCTCAGGATCAAAAATCAAACAGAGAAATTATTCAAAAAAATTTAATTATGTACAAAGTCTCTTTCATGCAAGGTAAAATTCCCAGGTAATTAAATTTTAGAAGTTCTTTGGTAAACTATACATAGGAAAGTCCCTTCTGACTTTTTACATTATATGATGGTAAAAGAACTTCTAAAGTACTATTAAGATAGAATATACTACAAAGGAAATTAGTTGAAAAAATATTATGCTATAGTGCCATTACATAATTAAAATGATTTAATTATTACCAACTGATTCACTAAAAAACCACAAATGTAAAGAGGTAAATAATCGATTTTCTACAAATGAAGAGCCCTTTGCCCAAGAACAAACCACCTTATTTAAAAAATGACCAGAGGTGCCAACAGTCAGCCAGCGTTAAAATGACTAAACAGGGTTCAATTTACAATATACAGACAATACGGATGCTACTTCTAAAAGTTTTTGAAATTTAATTTTACTATATATTAAGCTTCATCAGTTGAGAAAAAAGTAAATCTATTCCAGCTGCTTAGAAATTAACCTAATTTAATACAATTCAAGGAAAACGTGGTGGGAGTTTTGGGGTGAATAAGTAATATTGTGACTGTATAATAAAAATTTTGGATTAAAATCAAAGATTAAATTTATTCTCTTTTTGCAAAACAGTGTTTCTCAAGCCTTTAGAGAATATTCAGATTTTTATGACCAAAAAACCCTCGTTTGATTATGTTCCCAAAGTTTTATTATGTATTTTGTTCCCCAATTTTAAACTTTGAAAACCTTGCACTGAGTAATTCATTTCAAAGTATATTTATAAAAACAATCAAAAGGATTAACATAAAATACTCTTCACCACTCATTTTTACTAAGGTAGAGGGAGGTCACAGAAAATTCTCATTTAACCCGGGGTAATGCAGATTACAGACTAAAAGAGTCATTCTTTTAGATAACCATTACCTTGAAATTTGGGGTCTTGAAAATGTGAAGAAAATGGAATAAGGGTAGAAAAAAATACAAATAAAACTATAAAGGAAAAGAAATATTTCAAAACTTAGGAGTATAAAACTGTACTATTCACAGCATAAATTGAACCCTGCTTTATTTTAAAATAAAGCAAAAATAAAAATTAATAGAACAATTCACACTGTAAGTCAGAGGAAGAACTGCAACCCCAATTTAACTGATTTTTAACAATTATTGCCCCAATGAGTTTAGAAGAAACACAGCCCAAGAGATTATTGCTTAGCATAGGAATAACAAATTAATATATACAAAATGCAATGCATTAGATAATTTTCTGGTGTTGCGTTAGCATTGCATATAGCAAGGATTAGAAACAAAATAGAAATTTCTATTTCCTACCTATATCACTGGCTACCATCTTGGAAAACTTTCTGCTTTTGGTCTTCACTGAAAATAATATTTTGATATAAAATGTCAAAATCTATTCAAAGTAAACTAAATTAATTAAACATAATTAAAAGAAAATACTTTAAAATAAAGATACTATACCCTTTTCTATAAAATTATTCATTTTTTGTTCATCATCTGAATTGTGTGGTGATGAAGAACCTACACAAATAAAGACAACGGAAGGAACAGACACAGTCAGTCACAAACACGGAGTGGTCACAGGGAAAAGTGCAAACAAAATAATCTGGTAACCTCTACAACAAGTTCCCACATTACTGGCCACAAGGAAACGTCATGGATATAGTTAATAACAATTCTTATAATATGACAGTAAGAATAGCAATCAGTAGTGCATTATCTTTCGTGGTAAACCAATCCCTAGTATATATAAATATCAACTCTACTTGGTAATAATTTTTCCATAAGTTACAACCATTTGGCAAAATCTTGGTGTATATTATACGTTAGAAAACAGATAAAAGAAAAACATAAGTAGCAGTTAATTAACTGTTTCCGAAAGGAAAGGTGAAAATTCCTGATATTAGTTAACTGAATAAGTTTATCTAGTAGAACTAAGAATCCTGTACAAGTACTATGCTTGCAAAATTCATCTTAGAGTTAGCTTTCTAGATACAAACTTCTAAAATCATATATAAATTCTACTATTACCATAGATATCTTTAAAACACTGAGATAATACTTATACAATTTTAGATAGGTTCAAATACATATTTACTCAAATTTAATAAGGTAAGAAATATTTAATTTTAGTTTGGCTGTGACTTCCAATAAGTTTAATATTTTTATAATTAAGATTTTATTTGTCCTTTTTCCTTAAAAACGGTGTTTCCAATTTTTCACAGTATGTCTTTTAATTCCTGACATAAAACTTGTACTATAAATGCAATCCTAAGTAGTATTCTAGTTGACAACTTATATTAGAATCAAACTATTCTTTACAGTACATTGCAAATGATATCTCATCAGTTAAATTTTTCACAATCTCCCCAGCTATAAATCAATTCCCCTCCTTTGAATTCCCAGAACACTTCATCCATCACTTCTCTTATGATGTTATTCACTCAATTCCTTATATTTTAGTTTACACATATCTGGCCTTTCCCACTGGACTGAACTTCTGAAAAGCTGGCCCCAAATGATCCATCTTTGCATCTGTCTGCACTCAGTGGAGTGCTCTGCCTGCAGAAATCTCTAAGTAAACACGTGCTGAATGAACAAAGCTTTTCTGCTAGAAGCAAAGACCTAGAACACAACTGGAAGTAAATGAAAAGGTTTTTCTGTGCTTTTTTCTTTTTTATCCCAGTGAAAGTGTAAACCTTAATAAATAAGGTCAAAATGCGACCTCCCCTTCCCTTACAAAATCGTACTTTTTATCTTTGGCCAGGTGGAAAATATCCTTGTAGTCTTTATCAGACCAAGTAAAACCTGCCAACATTGGCAGGATCCAATCACCTCTATAACAGTCTGAAAAGATCACTCTTTAAAAAACCATGTTATTTTTGCTAAATAGCATTTATAGATCCTCATAAATCCTATATCAAAAAATATCACATAAGTAACACTGAGATCAGTAACATTTCCAGAAATAAAAATAAGTATACTTATTTTTCATATAAATATAACTCATATTTAAAGGAGATAATGGTTATAAGATGTTATATATATTTCAAAATATCACTGTCATCTCTGATACTAAATAGCCACATGAATGTACAAAAATTTATTAATGTTTTATTTGATAAATTTCATATTAAAGGAATAGCAAGATGAGATATCTAAACATGAACATAAAACTATAAAAACTGTTTAGTATTTCCAACATAAAAATAGGCAACATAAGCTGTAAAAGTAAATAAAACAAGCAGACTTATTTTTCCCCTAACTGAAAATGCCTACCACCGATTGTTGTAACTTCTGCGAGGGTTCATGAAAAAGTTCCAAAAATGTTTTCACCATATCCTACTTGAATATATTTACCAAATTACTTGACTAAATAAACAGAGAAAATATCTACAGCGTTTTGTTTTTTCTAGGGTATACGGCAACTCCTGAAAGGCATCATTCATAAAAAGGTCTGTGTCGCCCTGGGTTTTCTTCAATTTGAAATAAACTAACAAATGTTTTTATCATTTTAACGTATATATACACATATACACAAATATTTTTTTGGATGCAGTATGAAAAGAAAATTCCAACATTACTAAAGTGTTCAGTGAAGCAATCGGAGTTCTTTGAAATAAAGATCAAATGGAGATGGCAGAAGTAATTTTCCGTTAATTCAGGATGGGAGAAGTAATTTTCTATTTCAGACAGACTGTTGGCTTATTTAAAAGTAAATGGAAACGGCAGATGACATCCATTACCTGGATTTTCTCAGGACAATTTTTGAATAGAGCTTTGATACTGATTAGCTAAAGTGTTTCTTGATTATGGGATTTAAAAGCTTTTTAAAAAAGTTTCTCTTCATCTATATGTATTATTTTGAGTAAATACATTAGTTTTGATAAAGGGCATGTGGCTACTTTTCATTTCTGAAATAGTGGTCCTCCTCTTAGTATATATGAGGAACTCAATGGAACTTCCAACCACTTTTCGACACTTCTTCTCTTATAAACACAAACATTGTTTTCTATTAACTATGTAGGTTTTAATAATCTATATTGTATCATTTACCTATTTATTTACTCCCCACCACACTGCAGAAAGTATTCGAGTAATTTAACTACTACTTTCCATGATTTTAATAACATGATCCCCCTGTGGTTCTTCTGATTCACCTCAAACTCACCCCATTCGTTTTTCTTTTTTGACCATCCTAAATTAGAATTTGCATGTGTTGGTGAGAGGAATAATAATAAATTATTCCTTTATTTGCTTATTAGAATGCTAACAAGAATGAAGGCAAAGAAGTTACAAGTGTGCAAAGAGTAAGACAACTGGCCCACGATGGGTAGCAAAAATTACTATTAACTACTTAAAAATGGACAAGCAGCGAAAAGCACAAGCCATGAGAATATAGCGTCACAAAGCAGTTAGCTTTCTAGAATTTTATTCTGGTTTCTATCGCACTTCTTAGTTCTTATGCATGACGGACAGCTATCTCCCGTCATGTGAAACATGTTTCAGGCACAACTACTATCTACTAAAGTTTGATTTGCTTTTTGTAAAAGCAGTCTTTGTCTTATCACGCAGAATGGATATAATTCTTCAGAGAATTCTTACAGCCTTCAGAGCACAATCAAAGACTAAACTAAAACTAAGAGTTTTATATCTAAAGATAAGACTTTGTGACTTATCAGTGATTTTTGAGGTCACAATTTTTACTCTGCATTTCAAACTCACTGAGAAAGACACAATAAAATACCTAGTGTCATATAAATTTCTGCATATTAAAACTATATTATCTTTTCACATGGACCAAAGAGCACAATATACTCGAAAATGCTGAACAATGTTGGAGTTTCTCTGGACTGAAAAAGAGAGAATTTGGAGGGTTTTTACCTTTATGTACTTTTTGTATTTATATACTTAGATTTATATAGACTTATATCCTTATCTACAATTACCTCTTGTTAGGTTATTCCAAAATTGCTAGATGTATACACCTGTTGAAAGTTTGGCTTAGGATAAAAAGGAGTGTTAATTTTTGGGGGCTGAATCTTGTTAAAACACTTTTGATGGTCATTTAATACATTAAAAGATAATATATTACACGTCCAAATTATCCAATTTGGCTTATAGCCTTAACATACTGACAACTGCCTTCACAGGGCCTTTAGGGAAGTGAGAAGATGAGAACAGTATTGTATGCAGTTGGAGGAAGAACAGCAATAATTAAAAGATATTATAATTCTAAATTCAGAAATAACTCTAGTCCTGTGAGATGGGAAATACAATTACTTGCTCCATATTATTATTCAAACTTTATTCTACCAATGTTCAGACTTAATATTAGGTGTTGATCATGTGAGTGATTCCTATGGCTCCATGTTTTATTAGTTTAATGAATGAATTTAAATATGAAATTTAAAGATTAAAAAAAGCAGAAGGTGGATATATTTTAAGAAAGAAATGATTACCTTGCGCAATATCAGGAAAATGCAATTAAAAAAAAAAAAAATCACAAAAGCCTTTACAGTCCTAGATCTAACAAAATGCTAAACTGAAATATGAGGGAGTAAAGTAAAATGCGCTTCTCAATATTTCCCATTCTTAAAATTATTTCTGATGTAGTAGATCCAGCTACGGAAGGATCAAAGTCTGTCTAACAATAGTGTTCCTTTATGCTCAGATCAGTCTTTCCAGTAGAAAGCTGATGAAAATTCCCAGCAAGAATGATTTAATAAATATGGCATTTAAAATTATAAAGTCAACATTTTATTAAAAGATGAGCAAAATTTCAATCCACCAAAAAAAAAAAAATATGATAAACTCAGGATCCTCTTAATTTTAACAGGGCTCAAAAGATATAAAAGTAATATTCCTCTGAAATATTAATGTATATACACAGGTCACATAAGGACTTATACATGGACCAAAAAGGCAACTGCTTTAATATAGCTATAAAATGACAACAGATATTACTTTGCTCAAAAACACATGTAACTAGTCTACAATTATGCTAATTGTCTACAGTCACTATTAGGCTGTGTTAAAAATCGTTCATAACATTTACACGGACAGTACACAAGGATGAGAGCACTGTTCCACCAGATGATGCCAGGCACGCCTACGGCAGATAAGTAAACCATTTGATCCAATGGTAAGGAGTGAAATATATTTTCCCCAAAAACGTGTCAACTTTAGAAAGGCAGGTAAACAGTTATATGACTCCACAGGTAACAGCCGTGGATTTCTTTTCATTTAAAATGAGAATGCAAAGAATATAGTCGTGATTTTAAGACTAAATATGTGACACAAAAGTGCCTTGTAGGTGTATTTTAAATGTTCAGCTATAAAAAGGAATATTGATATGCTATATTGGTTTTTGTAGCACTATAATTATTAATGAAATAAAAACACACATTACCAGAAGTCGGCGATTTGCAGCGATCCTCTGGGACGACAGTCCCTTCACTAATATCGCACAGTCCCGCTGAAAAACAAAACCAAAAACCAAGTCAGGTCAAGAGTTTATTTATGTGCAGTTTTACCTCCTACCTACGCCTGTCCATTGAAAAAGACCGAGCAGATTGACAGGCTGTGCTGGCAGCGGTACTGCGCTCCTCAGTTCTGAGACAGGAACATGGGAGCACTGCAACAGTAAAATACCTCCAACAATCCAGCACTCATCAGTTAAATAAGAAACAGAATTTCCAAAAGAGATACTTTGCTATTCTTCAAGGACATTAAACATAATGCAGGACTTTGTTTAAAATCAGTAATTTGAAGGCTTAAGACATACTTCTTATTGGATTTTTCTTGAGGGAGAATAAATACCTGGTAATAAATTTGGTGATTTTTACATCATAGGGACCCTCAAGTCAAACCTCAAAGTGGTTTCCCCTAAGTATGTCGCAAACACCTTTCTTAAATATTCTTGAATAATAATTAAGTAAATATTTTATACCTCCAAGTTTGGAATATTTTAAATATTGTACATTACTTACCTTGTAGGGCTATACCTCTTAAAAACTATTACCTTTACATCTTTTAAAGAGCTCTAAAGAAATACTTTCTTTTCACAGATACATATGAAATATATAAAACTAATCTATCTTAAAAGATGGTCTAAATTCTCAGGAGAAACCATAGCAAGGTCTTATGCTCTAGACAAGAACTAAAAGACATGGCAAAATGCAAAGTAAACAACTAAGATGGATATTAATTTGCTTGATTGAAATGAAAAGAATCCCTGCAAATTCTTTAAAAATTACAAATAAACACACATCAAGAGTTTGGGATAGCTGGGCAACAGACAGGGGCTGTGTGTCTAGGCTTCAGAAGAAGTTAAGTACCATATCAATATATGTGCACATAAGACCAGTATCTGCTTTTCCACATTTTTGCTCAAAGACATGATGTCACAATCTCTACAGTCACTAAGAAAGCTTTCACAGTAACATTTTCAGAGAACACTGAGTACCGAATTGGTTTATAAGAAGTGTTTTCTATTTTGAACTATAAATTATTTGTCTTCATTGGGTAGGAAGTTTTTGAATAAGTAGTTTTTTTTTTTCTTTTTAACTTGCATCAAACTAACGGTTCTAGGAAAAAAAAAACTAGTTTTTATAGTTCTAAGATGATAGATGTAATTATAGGTATGCATTTGATCTTCGACAAAATCTATTTATTTATATAAATGAACTTTTTCTTGATAGGACACTAAGACAGCAGGTTCTTAAATAGTAGTGATATATGAAAACAATCTAAGTGTCCATCGATGGATGCATAGACAAAGAAAATGCAGTATATACATAAAATGGAAGATTATTCAACCATTAAAAAGAATGAAATTTTGCTATTTGCAACAACATGGATGGACCTCAATGGCATTATGCTAAATGAAATAAGTCAGAGAAAGACAAATACTATATGATCTCACTTTTGTGAACTCTAAAACCAAAAAGCAAAAAAAAAGAAAAACCCCACAAAACTCAAGCTCATAGATACAGAGAACAGATGGTGGTTGCCAGAGGTGAGAGAAATGGGTGAAGGTGGTTAAAAGGTATAAACTTCCAGTTATAAAATAAATAAGTCCTGGGGATGTAATATACAGCATGCTGACTATAGTTAATACTGTATTGCATATTCGAAAGTTGCTAAGAGAGTGGATCTTTTTTTTTTTTAACAGTTTTATTTATTTATTTATTTATTTATTTATTTGTGAGGAAGATCAGCCCTGAGCTAACATCCATGTTAATCCTCCTCTTTGCTGGGGAAGACCGGCTCTGAGCTAACATCTATTGCCAATCTTCCTCCTTTTTTCCCCCCCAAAGCCTCAGTAGATAGTTCTATGTCATAGTTGCACATCCTTCTAGTTGCTGTATGTGGGACGCGGCCTCAGCATGGCCGGACAAGCGGTGCGTCGGTGTGCGCCTGGGATCCAAACCCCGGCCGCCAGTAGCGGAGCGCGCACACTTAACCACTAAGCTGCAGGGCCAGCCCGAGAGTGGATCTTAAAAGTTCTCATCACAAGAAAAGAAAATTTCTTGTATCTAGGTGAGATGGATGTTAACTAGACTTACTGTGGTGATCGTTTTGCAATGTATACAAATATCGAATCATAATACTGCACACTGAAACTAATATAATGTTAAAAATCAATTACACCTCAATAAAAACTAAATAGTAGTGATAATATATTCCAGTATTACAAGGAGCCTAGTACTGAATAAAAATAACCGACTTTGAAATTTTAAGCCTTTGGTATTTTGTGAACTGCTACTAAACACTATAAGAACGTACTATGTGATATAATTTCCATTCTTAAAATAGTCTAGGAGGAAACATTTAGGAAGCTAAATCGAAAAATGTGATAGAGATGGTTTAATTTAGATATTAAATTACTGAATGAGGTATAAACCGCTTCACGGCCTTCCATCTGACTCTGGGTGAAAGCCCAAGTCCGACCCTCCATGACTGGCTGATGGACATGATCCTCCAGTACAGACTGTGGTGTAGACCAGGTGACTGTGGTGTAGACCAGGTGACTGTGGTGTAGACCAGAGGACTGTGGTACATCCCCTTACCTCTCCAACTTTATTTCCTCTCTTGCACCTCTCTTACTTCCCCACCTCCCTCCCTCTGTCTATCCAGCCACACGTGCTCCTCACCGTATCTTGGACTCACCAAGCACACTGCTTCAGAGCCACTCTGCTTGCTCCCCTCTGTCTGAAACGTTCTCTTCACAGGCATCCTCGTGGATAACACCTCTCTCGCTTCCCTTAAATCTTTACTCAAAAGCCACCTGGATACTTTTTTTAAAATTCAACACCCTGTCACTGATATTTCAAATTCCCCCTTGTTTAATTATTTTTCCCTTTAGCACTATTATGCAACTCACTATGTATTACTTATCTTTTTAAGTATCTGTCTTTTCCAGTAGAATGTGAGCTCCACGAGGACAGAGATTTTTGCCTGTTTTATTACCCATAACAGTGCACAGCACAAGGCGGGTGCTCAGTCTGTGTGGAATAACTGAATGGATACACATGAAAGAATTTCATGGCATGTAGTCTATCTTCTCTGTTATTGCCCGATTCCCTTCAACAAACATCCCAGCAATACAGTTATCTAGGCTTGCCCATCCAATTAGCTGGCTGGTAAAACCCAACATTTATGAAGTGCTCATTACGTGCCAGATCTGTTCTAAGTTATTGACTCATTTAACCCTCACCGCAGCCAGGGAGGTAGACAGTGTTATCCTCATTTTATGGAAGAAGAAACTGAGGCACTGAGTGTTTTAGGTATCTTATTCAGTGACAAATACCTCATTACTTCTAGAGACAGTCAACTTATTGTCATCGTCAGAGAGATTTTACTGGTAGAAAGCTGTTGTGCACATTTGGGTCAAAATTTGTTTTCTCTATGAGCTGCTTTCAAAATGAGGAGGAAATACAACATAAATGGGCAATTTAAAGTCTTCTATACTTCTCACATCAGTATCTTCAGCAGGTATGTCACATTACTGGCACACATTAAGTGTGGTCTCTAGTAACAGAAGAACCGCTGAGTGCCAAGGACATTCCACCCACAAGATGAGGTGCATGACATCTGCTGCCATCTCACTTAATGATCACACTAACTTTATGAGGGATACTCACCCCCACTTTAGAGATGAGGACTCTGAGCCTCAGGAGTATCTTCTTTAATATCACACACATAAAAGGAAGGCTCAGATTTAATTCAGATCAGCCTAAACTAACAAGAAAACCCCCAAGTATGTTCACGTGAACTAGTCTTGAGCCAGTTTTCTGTTCTGTGTGTATATAATCAATCTTTATAACCTAAACACAGGACTTAACATTTACTGCTGATAAACTTCATTTCCCAGGTTTAAGTTGATGATTTCTACCTACAACTATCCTTATGGGTCTTTGCCATGAAACGTAGTAGTTACCCTTTAAATAAAGACAGGAAGCACACCTTCTCTTTCAAATGTTTACACAGGAAGCTTAATTTGCTACTTAAAATGTTGAACAAAACATAATCATGTTATTCAACACAATACATCCAGTAACGTACACTACATCACAGTTACTATCAGGCCACAAACTGCCCCACCAGGTACCACGGTTTAATCCAGGAGTTGGCCAACGTTCTCTGTGAAGGTCCAGACTGGTTTTCGGAGCCAATGTCACAACTACTCAGCTCTAATGTTGCAGCACAAAAGCAGCCATAGATAACAGGTAAGCAAGTAAGCGTGGCGCTGTTCTCATAAATCCCTATTTGCAAAAACAGGCAGTGGGCCGGATGTGGCCCCGCAGACGGGGTTTGCTGACTGCTGGTTTAATCAACCTTGCAATCGTTCAACTGAACTAGGTATTTAAGTCACTTCCTCCTGTCTGGTTTACAAAAGTATCAAAGCATTCTTTACCAAATACCTGATTAACTTCAGGAAACATTATGTCAACAGGCTGCCATGAGCCATCAATGTAGTTACCAGGTTAAAAGGTAACATTGACTTTGGCACGACTTACTTTTAGTGAACTCCTGCTGACTTCTACTGATATCTCTATTTTCAATACGCACACAAGGCATCAGCTACTTAGCAAATCATCCTAGAATTTTGACTGATTTTACATCAAATTTACTGATTTGTAAAATATTTGACCTTCATCAACTGGGGGTACCATTTAGAAATTCTCTTGAAATCTTTTTATCATTGCGTGGTCTGCCTTATTTACATAACATAGCTTAGACTTTAATTTCTCTTTATTACTTTTCATACTTTCCAGAGAGAAAAATCATTCTTCTTAATGGAGAGCTGAGAAACAAAGCTATTTAGTTCGACACTCTGTGTTTCAACTATCATTTCAAATCATCCCTCAAGTGGGTGCTAATCCCTCCTTAACTATATTTTCATTGTAACCCAACATTTTGCCGTATTTCTCATTTTTTAGAAATCAGCCTTAATTCAACATAGTACTTACTGATCTATGCAACATTTTTATCCATCCTTGATTGTATCCCTTATTTCTTATATAGTATCTTTTGTTTCTTATAATAATCTTTCTCTCTCTCACACACACACACACACACACACAGACATTTCAACTAGTACTCCTGGGCTCCATAGCTATTTCTCTTTTGTATCTTATTGAACATATTGAAGACTTGAAAGTAATTGCAACTATATAATCAAAAACTTCATTTTTAGAACCTTCTCTCCTTAACTTTTTAAAATGTGTTTCTTAAAGTCTAGGTACAACTTTACACCTCTAATGTCCTTCTCAAAATTATCAACTTCCAAGACTAAGCAAGCACTTTTCCTCACGTATCCACCACTTTCACATCACTCATTAGATCTTATTTGGGGTTTAGAATTATACTCAGCATAGAAATTTCCCTTTTGTGTCCTTCACTGAGTGAAAAAGTGGCCAGCAAAACAAGACATATTAACACGTTTCACTTTTAGTAGAATTAAGACTTTTAGCAAATACCTAGGTAGTTGAAATACTTCATCACTACTTATTTCCCTGACAGTTTCCTAATTTTTATTACAACAACACTGTACATAGTCTCAATAGTTCAACTGTATACAGCTATAAAACTTTTTTTTTTTTTTTGTGAGGAGATCAGCCCTGTGCTAACATCTGCCAATCCTCATCTTTTTTTGCTGAGGAAGACTGGCCCTGGGCTAACATCTGTGCCCATCTTCCTCCACTTTATATGGGACGCCGCCACAGCATGGCTTGCCAAAGCAGTGCGTCGGTGCGCGCCCGGGATCCGAACCAGTGAACCCCGGGGCCGCCACAGTGGAGCGCGCGCACTTAACCGCTTAACTACCGGGCCGGCCCCACAGCTATAAAACTTTTAAACTTAAAAAGTAATGTTTTACCTTATAAAATAATTTCATGAGTGACATCTTATTCTTTATGAAAATATATTAGTATCTATTTGTAGCAAAAAAAATTTCTCCATTAAAACTGATCTATTAAAAAAGATAGAAGAACAATTTGATGGCATTTTGTCTACACTTCAAGAACATATTATAAAATATACACTTAGCCAAGAATACAATTATTATTATTTTTTTTGCTGAGGAAGATTAGCCCTGTGCCATCTGTGCCAATCTTCCTCTACTTTATATGTGGGTTACCGCCGCAGTGTGGCTGACAAGTGGTGTAGGTCTGTGTCCAGGATCCAAACTCGCAAACCTGGGCTGCCAAAGTGAACGTGCTGAACTCAACCACTACACCACGGGGCCAGCCCCAAGAATATAATTTTTTATCTCAATGCAGTTAAAGAATTTTAGTACCAATTATCCCATATTTAATTTCATTTGAAATATAAACAATTATATTTTATAATTAAGGCATAAATATTCTTAAGATGTTAAAGCATATTTTAAAATAATTTTCTTTTAATTTTTATTTAAAACATGATTCTAAATATTGTTAAAGTGAGCATAACATCCATAAGTAAATACCTTAAATTGACAAAGAAAAACTCAAATAGTCCCCCTGTGCCTAAACATCTAACTCAACACAAATGAAGCAAATAATAATATGAATAATATTATGGGTTTACTACTAGAATAAAGTAAGAAGCAGTGAAATTTAAGAAAAAGATGTTTTTAAAATCATATGGTAAAATTGGTCTCTATCCCTGGATAAATTTAGCTATTTAATTTCTAGCAATTTTATGTAAACTATGATGAGATATCAAGGAGAAAAGAAGTTAATTTTAGGAGTAATAAAATTTACCACAGGTTAGTTGTAAAATTGTTAAAAGTATTTCTTTCCCCCCAAAAACTTCTTCTCTATCATGACAAGGCTCTAACTTTCTTACAGTCAATATTTAGTTTCTCTGCTTTATAAAGAAATTGGATTGGACTACAAATATTTCAACAGCTGTTTTCATATACTATGAAATGAATTTAAGTAATGAATACATTATTTTAGATATAGAATGTTTTAATAAGCTCTTTTAAAAATAAAGGAGGAAAAAAAACAATGATTTCACAGACAAAAAACAAACATGGAGTGACTTTACTGACATGGAACTTACTTAGAAAAGAAGAACGGAGATGCTTCACAGATTCAGAATACAAGCTACAGAGGCCACACATGCAAGAAGTTACTATCAGCGTGCCTCAGCGCAGCAACGAAAAGGGGCAGGAGAAAAGGAGACAAAAATACTAGAATGGTATGGTTGGGACAAGAATTTCTGCTGAAGATAGCAGAGGACACAATGGTCACACACACAAACAAAAATGGAAAATAAAAAATTCAACTCTCTAGCCAAAGTGACGGTAAGGGCCACCTCCCGTCCCCTCTTTTTCCTTCTCCCCTGAATTGTGATACAGGTTGCATGAGCAGGTACTGTCCTGAGAGCAATGGAGAAATGAATCTCAGAGAATTTTAATTCAAGGGGACTGAGTTAGCAGCTACAGACTGGAGCGCCCCAGTGTCCCACTGCACACTGACGTTCTGCAAACGGACTGAGTCTGCCCACAGGGTTCCCCTCAACCCTTGGTCTAGCTGGGCAGGGCTTGGGGACACTGAAGCCTGGAGGCCAGCTACTGCTGCATTAACACACCCCTGTGTGCCAGAGACCCAATGCCATCAGGTTAACAAAAAAAGGTGAGGAGTACTGGTATAGGCGGCTAACTATACATGGGTTCCACGAGGCATCAGTATTAAAACATTTAAAATTAAGACTAATTACCTAGCCAACACAAAAGAATGCTAGAGAGAGAATTCTTAATGGATCCGGGTTTGCACTGAATCAAGGCTAGCTGAGAACACTATATTTTCACAGAATTCAAATTCTCTTTTGAATCTACTTTTTTTTTCACATGGGAAATGATTCCTTTGAATTAAATAGTTGAAACACTGAATTGTTGGTCTCACAATACCAAACACTAAAAAGGGCAAAACTTTGAAACTAACTTTTGTTCTGTAATAATGAGAAGGAATTTTCCTGCCATTATAATTTAGCTCAAGAAGTCTGACACTACAGTTCTTTCCCAATGTTAAATAATCCTAACAAGTTAAAAACAAAAGCAAAAATCTAATCACAATACAAGACAAAAAAGAAGCCTCAAACCTTTTACTAGTTTTTGACAGTTTATACAGACAAGCTATTTACCTAACTGAAGTACTTACATTCACAGAAGTAACCTCAGCATTTACAAAAATCCTAAAACTCGGGATTTTTTCCTTTTTACCTCCTGAAGGTTGCCGAGATTTACGAGGAGACCGAGGTTCCCTCCGATAGGGATCACTGGAGCCATATAATTCAATAGTGCCCAGGTTGAGGAGGACTGCTTTCTGGAGGTAGTCAACCATCGCAATGCCGTTACAATTGCCAAAAACTACCCTAGAAATAGGAAAACAGCAAACATTTTATCACAAATAAAGAACTACAAGAAAATGTATTGTACTCTCTAAGACTGAAAAAGAAGCAGGATGGTCTTTCAGAAAATTCCTCTGAAACAAAAGATGATCACAGACGTTCACAGACATGGAAATACAGGTTACACACGCCTTCTCATGGAACTCTGTAGATCTTGTGCAGATATTAAAGATTACAAATCAATATCATCATAAAATATTTGGCACATGAGTTGAAACGATCAGAGACATAAATCCCCATGCTAGGCAACGTGACAACTATTTTTCTGACTTAGGGGCATTTTGAGCTCCTCAGGGCAAGTCATTCCCTTCCACCAGGGAAACAGAGTATTCTATCTTTGGGAAAGTTTGGGTAATCCCTACAGTCAAGAATAACAAGGAGAATGTGACACCCTCACCGAGGCTGAACACACAGGGACGAACTCTCTTAGATGGAATAAATAGCACTTCTCTCTACAAAATGAAGTTCTAAAGCCTACGACCTTATTTGGACAAAGACATTAACTAAATTCCTATGTAAACCTGAAAAAAAAAAGAATAAACAGTAGAAGGCCTAAATCTTGGAGGCCTCCCTTTGTAGTATTCCAAATACCTTCTCAATTAGGAATCAGGAACTACAAACCAAGCAACTATGAATAAAGGAATTTTATTCTTTTTAGATCTCTTAAGCCAGGAGTTGAAAACTGAAACGTACAGAGGGGCTAGGTAAGTAAGGAAAACAGGCCAGATAAGGACTGTGGTGAGCTGGGGAGGGTACGAACCATGGAAAGAGGAGAAGCTTAGCTCAGTTCCCACTGACTACTGCCAGGAGGAATGGAGACACAGTTCAGATCACCTTCTCAGTTGAAGCTCTAAATGTGGATTTCACATTAAATAATCTTGGCAACTAGTTCAAATCTTAAAAATACACAAAAAGGGCGAAATGGAATACAACTGTGACCCCAACAAGGCCTGTGATCAACTGATTTGCAACTTCCCTTGAAACTTCCTATTGGTTCTTTTTCTTATTCCCTGTTTGTTTCCTTTATGGTTGTGGGCAGTAAAATATTAAAAAGAAAGTTTGTGTCCTTACACCTTGGGGCAGCAAATAAAAGACACGAGAGAAGACTATCTCAGACCACAGCCAGTCTTGGCTGGGCGCACAACTGCAAGAGACAGAGCTGGTGGTAGTGGCTACAGGGAGGAAGAAGACAGATGAGCGAGTCCCTCGGGCTGGCATCAGGAAGGAGACAGCGACCCACACAGGATAAGGAGAGCTGGGACTGAACAGCTCGCATGTGGTTTCTCTTATACCACAATGTTGATTTTTAAAACGAAAATAAATACTTTGTACGTCTGTCATATAATAAAAAGTAGGTACAATTAACACTACATGCTTGAAGGCATGAATTGATAAATAAATGTACTTATCGTACAGATGAATACTTTACTAAACTATTACTACTACGTCTTTACAATTTATTCAAATTAACTTTGTTAGAGCTCCATTATACTCAGTATTAATATGAGAATTATTTCTGAAAGTATACCCAGGAGAGGATATATTGACTTTAAATCTTTATCTCAAACAATTAATTGGTCCATGAGATATTTAACCTTATGTTAGGAAGTGGTATAAGCACACCGAGAGTAAATTATTCAGAACAGAATTATGTTCCAAATAAACCATGAATTTGGTCTAAAATTAAAGTTATACAACTTTTTTTAAGTGATGCTATAGTAAAGATCATCCTTTCTATTTTTAAAAATAAAAGAATACTATGAAGAGTCTGAGGAACACATAAATTACACTTACAATCCGTAGGAAGAATTGATCGCCAGGCTGGTTATTTGTTGCGGTGGTTCTCCACCCACCCAGACCAACTGAATAACCAGTTCTGTCTGATAGCCTGGAGATTGTTTCAGTGGTGAACTTTTAACTCTGTAATAGAGGAAAACATATTATCTTTTAATCCATCTTCAATTATCTTATTAGCCCATGTAATTAGAAAGTCATGCATAAATCACTACACAAAAATAACTTTATATAGAAAATTATACTAGATAAAAAAAGAAATGTAAAAATTGGAATCCTGTCCTCTAGAAGCATTTAACCTAGTTGGAGACGAAACATGTACATAAACAACAAACATAAGAAATCATATGTAAGTTCCACACATTAAGTGGGGGATAGCAAGGAGAGAGGGAGAAGTGGGTAGGAGGGGACGGAGGGATGGGTGGGGAGAAGAATGAGGAGAGGCAGGGGCCCGGGAATTCAGAGGAGAAAAAAAAAGTCACAGGCAAAATGCAAGTTAGAAAAGTAGACTTAGAACTTAAAAATATGGTTTAACTAAATGAAAACTGGCTAAAAACATAACGAGTTAAAGAACACGTAAAAAAAATGTGAGCAATTCATTTTCATGTGTGTGACCACTTTTACTATAAAAAAAAATCTACTTTGACTTTGAGTTGGTAGTATTTGTGAACGCACAGACTCTTTCCCCAGTAACTGCTGAATAGTGCTCAAAAAAGTACTGCTTTTACAAAACATATGCAAACAAGGTAAAGAAGGAAACTCACAGTCAAAGATTAATAAGTGTGTAAGTCTGGTCACAGTGGAGGCGTGTGTAGTAATCAGTATAGCAAGACAGGCGAGGGCCAGACTCTGGAGGGCCTTTAAGGCTGGGCTGCAAAGACCTGATGTTGGTAGAAAGAACTCTGGGCTTTCGAAAAGCTGGAGTGTGAATCCTGGCTCTCCCACTTACCAGCTGTCTTCTTGTCTAAAAAGTGGGAATATTACTTCCTAATCATACTATGAGGACATTGTCAGAGCCTATGAAAGAGCTCTGTCAATGGCCAAATGACACAAAAGGAATATATTTCATTATTAAAGAAGTAAAAGCCAATGAAGGTTCATAAGAAATATTTTGGGAAGATTAATTGGGTGGAGGTTTGCAAGATGAAGTGGAATAGGGAGACCAGTTAGGAAGCTCCTATGATTCTCCTGATGTGACACAATAAGAACAAGGTAGATCTCAAACACATTGTGAAGTAAGAACCAAAGAGGCTCGTAACCTTCACGAAGGCAGAACCCTGCAGTTACTTTTAACACTTGAGCACAGAAGAGGTACTCAGAATCTACTGACTGAATGAACGAGCTGGAGGCGGATTAGAGGTAGAGGAGGGGAGAAAAAGAAGACAGAGGGATTCTTTTTTCCCCATCCGCCCCCCCCCCCCAAAAAAGCTGTCAGGATGAAGAGCTAGTTTTAAAGGAATATGTGCTAAGTCTGAGGTGATGGTGGGATCTTCAACTGAACTACTTGGCAAATAGTCAAATGTGTTCCCAAACCTCACTTACACTGAGTAAGTTCATACAAAACTTACATTGGTTAAACTTGTGATAAGCATGTTAGGAGGAGTGTGGGAGGGGTTTAGAAGAGTGTAAGACTTTCTAAGGAGTAAAGCTACTTAGATACAACACTTGTAATACTTGTATCAGTAAACTTCAAATGGATTTGGAAGATAAAATTTTTTTTAAAATGTGAGCAATTTACTTTTGAGTGTGACTACTTTTACTATAAAAAAAATCTGCTTTGACTTTAACATGAGAACATTTTTGATTTCACAGACTCTTTCTCCAATTACTGCTCTTGTAAAATATATGAAAAGCCTAGTTACTTCAAGAATTCTTGAGACTCCTGCCTTGGCGTGACAGGGGATGGAAGGACATGAGGAAGACTACTCAATGTTGAGTCTCCTGACACCAAACTCAGAGGTAAGAACCCTTTTGAATCATTTAGTTGGTACTCCCAGTGAATAAGACCATGACACCTGACCTTCTGCTGCCATATTTGCTAGACTCACTCTAAGCAAGAAAAGGGTCAGTACGTCGCCCAAATTTCAGGGTAAACGTGACTCTATGAGGGTACCCCTAATACAAACTGAGTTATAGTCACTTCTGCCTGCACAGAGTCTGCACGGCAATATACTCAGAACCGCACACTGGTTGAGGCAGAAGTTCTGATTTTTCTCAGGGAAATATCCCCTAGTCAGCTGCAGCTGTCCATCTCAAGAGATAGAAATAGAGACTGAGTAGCATTTCACCTCCACCAGAGACAGCCTCTGTTGACATAAGCATGGGCCGAAGGTCTGAGTGTGCTATCTTCTCGCTGTATGAATTAGGTGAGGTTCAAGCTAGTGTCCACCTTCCTCTGGCATGGTTCATGTGCACATCAGATTAGATTCTCAAGACCAAGAACAGGCATTCAGGGATAATTTTAGAAGTGCATATATGGACACATTGAAGACTTAAGTGATGAAGACACACAGAACTCACGGAATTCTTATTTCGCTTAGAAAGTTCTTAAGCAAAAATAAGCCAGCCAAGTCTGCTGCAAATCCCCAATTAGTAAAAAGTTAGAAACCAGATCAAGAAATGACAGAATATGTCAGATTCTAAAAATAAAAAATGGGGGTGGTGGATGTTATGTTTTGTGCCTACAATGGTTATCATTTTAACGTTTTTAATATACGTAAATTAATTTGTTTACTTTTTAAAGTTAAGGGGTTGAATCTTTACAAAAAACTCCATAAACTGTACAAATGTATTTTAAATGTCAAAATAATGTTTGGAGGCTTTGCAGTGTCAAAACGATTATCTGTTCTCATTCTCCCTGTTGTGACAACTCATAATGTCTCCAGCCACTGCCAAATGCATCCTAAGAAGCAGAATCATCCCCTTTTGAGAACCAATGGCACAGAACACACAATCTCAAATTTATGTAAACATTATATAAAGAATATTTAAAAAAAACTATACTTTTTAAATGACTGTAATATAAAGAATCTGCCTTATGTTTGGGGTGAATGCATTTTTGATTACACATTCTTCAGAGCAATTGTGGAACTATTCACCAATAAAAGCAAAACACTACAAAGCCTGGTTCTTTTAACAAATGCCAATTGTCTCTCTTACCACCCTCCCTCCCTTGAATATACTACGGTCTGGCTTTTTGCCCCGCAACTCTTTGCCATCTTCCACAATCACTTTGCAGTCATCATCCTAACTGGCTTCTCTGTAAATGTAATACACTTTTAATCACAGTCTTCATGAAATTCTGCAATGATTTTAACTCTTTCCTCATTGTTTTATTTCTCTGCCATATTTAAGGCTCAGATCTTTTAAAAAATTTATTACCATATAAAAGCAAAATTTATTCAAATCTGGAATGCTACAATAAAGGCATTTAAATAACGATACTGCGGTGCTAGAGAAGATTCAGAAAAAGGTAAGAAAGTGATTACAAAACGACTGAATCTTTAAAGACTGAAAAAACAGAATTTTGAGAGTAGTAGAAAATAGTGTAAACATACATTTGATCCACATATAAATCCAGACTGAAAAACATCGATGGGTTTAGATGACTGAGGTATATAGAGAGGAAAGATCCCTACCAGTATGTTTAGAGATCAAATCTTAGTACTTTACAGAGAAAATCATAGAACGCAATCATATTCCCCTTGATGCCACAGAAAAATGAGTTGGGTTAACAACAGTGAAACCAAGCGAGACGGTCTCATGCCATTTCACTCTATCGCAGGAAAACGTTACTGTGGCTTTACTAATGCTTAAAATTCATCTAAATTAAAAGGTTATTTTCAAAACATCTGTATTTTTTATAACTTACTTTAAACAAGGGACATTATCACGAAGCCCATCAGATGAACTGCTACTCGTGGAAGGATGAGACTGAGGAGGAATGGGCTGGGGATTGGCACCCCCCACTGGTGTTGGCAAAGGGGGCGCCTGGTCTCCCTCTGGGGATTCCACATCGTTTATCTCATATAACAGTCGAACTTCAAGCATCTGTCATGAAAGTGAGACAGTTTACCTACTCCTAATAATTACTGTTCATTTTATTACAGTTTATATACACAGACAGGTACACTTCAGTGGAGAGAACATTTTTAAAGGTAAAAATTTAGCAAGATTTCTAAAGGATTTAGCAAAGAAAAAAATGTTGTTTCTGACTCAGCTTTTTAAAAATGATTGCGTGTGAGTACACACACAAGCATTATGATTTTAGAATTTATGACACCCCTGTGAATCCCAAATTACAGTATGCTCATACTCATATTAACTTTCCCCAAATGAGACATACAATGTATTTAAGGATTTAAATATTCAGTAAGAAGATATGCGTAAAAATAGGCATTTTTCACAAAAGATAGATGGCAATGTAAATACTTAAGTGTCTTAAAAAATCCTAGACAAAGCCGACTGCAAATAGTCCCCTAAATAATTCAAAAATTTTAAAATGCCAGACATCTGACATTGAAAATAATTAAGAGCCTATTACCGGAATGACTTCTGTAATCACTTCCTGTTTGCTGAATCTATAGATAATGACATGAGCCGAAACTCCAGCTATGCACAGCATTCGACTTTCTGGACACCAGGAGATGATCTGAATGGCATACGGATCCTCATCTACAATGTCTGTGTTTGGCCTGTCATCTTTATTTCTTGACTTTTCAAATACTTTAGATGTCTTTAATTTATATAATACTTGTAGAGTTACTAGAAAGAAGATAATACATGTTAGATATCCAAATACAAAAAGAACAAATATAAGGTAATATTTAATCAGTCATATTATGTAAGGAAAACAGCCTATATTTATTTGAACCATATTTTTATTCCTAGGTCCACATTTCTCTATTATACTTTTAGATAATGCATTCACTGTACTCATTGACCAAAAAAAGGTACTCATGTATTTGTTTTAAAAAAATTCCATCATGATGAAGTTAGATAACCTGAAAAAAATGAGTAACGAAAGATTTTGTAAAAAAAAAAAAGTATCAATATAATGAAAATAATAAAGAATATATTTTGCTTTCTAAAATGATTTTCTATATATTTTCTCTACAAAAGGTACCAATATTATCTAACACTTCTACATGATGAAACATAATACATCCTGAGTTAACTAGATTCTCTTGCTATGTATGTTTTGCAAACATTAGCCATTCAAAGCATTCATTCTGTTTTTGCTGTTATGTAACCACCATATACATTTTACAAAGATGATACAAACTTTTGTGACATAAGTTTAGAATCAGGCATTAAATTTATTCTACAAATTTCTGTTGATTTAAAACATATTTCCACTTCTGAGTTAAGAAGAGAAGGTCTGAAGAAATTTTGGAGAATTTGAGTACTGCTGTTGAGAATTATTCTTGATTGACTAATTAATATCCTTAAGAATATCTTTATTAAAAATTCTGAACTCACATAATTGATAAATAAGGTAGTAAATTTATAGCTTCCGAATTTCAAATTAAATGTTGGTTATACAATTATTACAAAACAGGTTGTATAAAAGCTATGAGTGTGTGACATATAACAAATAATATTCAAAATACTTACTTGCAGAAGCATCCCAGAACTTAACTGACCCATCAGCATGCCTACGAAAAGCAAATGAGTGAAGAAGGTGATGAAGAAAAAAAAAAAAATTACATTTTTTCTTTCTTTGAAGTTAAGTATATAAATAAGAGTCACCAAAATGAGGAAAAAGGTAAAATTTAGGGTAAATTGGCAGATTCTAGACAATAACTTATTTCTTATTATGTTACAGCATAAAGGAAAGCACTACCTGCCCAATTAATTAATGCTCGTGTATTCTTAATTATATTTAGCTACTATTGATTTCTTTGGTAAAAAGAGACTTTTACTCACCCTGTAATAATTATTTCTGGGTAACTTTGAGCACCCAAGCCCCAATTACCTCCGTTGATGGGCCACTCCTGTAAGAAAAGATTACTGTATAAAACAACTTCCAAGCACACAATACATCTTCATATGTATATTTATGACAACAGTAAACAATATATTTGCTTCCAAAAAGGATTTCCCATATATTTTCTGTAGAAAATGGTTTTGATGTTATCAAACACTTCAAGGTGACAAATACGTAACATTAAATACTGGAACTCATGTTCAATACCTTTTTGCTGTAACCTTGGCGTTTCTGTCTAGCTCCAACAGAATAAAGTGCAGGAATGAGGTCCACGGGACAATCGGCGAAATATTCGCAACACGTCACAGGGGATTCGTGTATACTCAAAGGGTAGGGATTTTCAAATATAGGATATCTTTAACAACAGGAAAAGAAAAGTATTTATTAATTTAATGAATTCTTACCTATGATTAATACAACAATGAAAACTTCAAAAAAATACAGCTTTGGAATGGAAACATTTTTTTAAGTTTGATTAATTTAAAATTAACATCCTTTGAAGGTCCATATAATATATTATCTGAATGTATGTTTTAACTTTTCAGATAGTATATTCTTTTCTGTAGTTTTAGAGATTACAGACATTCTAACACAGAGATTTAATAGATTTAACTTATGCAAATACATAAAAAAAAAATGACGTCTTTTATAATGAAATTTGCTCAGTTAGAACAGTAAACAGAGAAGCTGCAAAACAGAGAAACTACATACCATGTGCCACACACTGGACTAGCTTTATATATATATATATATATATATTTTTTTTTTTTTTTTTCTTATTTACTTCTTGCACCAAACTTACGATGTAGGCATTTTACTGAAGAACAAAGGCTTAGGGAGAGCAAAGTGCCAAACAGATGGCAGCTAGCAAGAAGCAGAATTTAAACTGTGCTCTTAACCATTAAGCTATATGGTTCTCAATTAACAGATACCTCACCCTTATATCAGTAGATCTAATACAAATTTTCAATTCTCCTTTTTTCCTCCATCAGTGTAATGCCTAGTGCAGTATTTAATCTAGAAATGCTCTCTTGTTTTGGTGATAATCTAAATAAAATTCTACCTTAAACGTTTTCTTGATACAAAATTATTTTATTAAATAAAGCAAAAAAAAAATCAAAACTCAAAAAATTAATGTAAAATCATAACTAAATACACAATGATACTTCTTTTCTGGTTGGAAAGTCCTCAGAATTGAAAATGGTTACTTAAAAATATATGGAAAACCAGAAATTGGCTAAAACAAGTCCAGAGTGGCTAACCTGCAAAAACTGGATGTACTGATCAGTCTACTGCCGACAATAATTAAAAAATAAGAGGAGAAAAATTTTGGGAAAGCCCTTTCTAGACTTCAAAATGAACCCAACGTCATCACTCCTTCCTCAACCACACATAAAAAAACGGAAGTCAAAACTCAAACAAAAACGTGCATTTAAAAAACAGCAGGTGACTTTTTTCTCTTTATAAACACACTTTACAATCCTTAGTTCAGTGATTCTACTATTACTATACATTTAGCGGATATATTTGCTAAATAAAATGCCTAGTCACAGGTTACTTGCACAGGATTTTCTTTAACTTAAATATATCTCAGTTCAGACCACGTGTGAAGTCTTGCTATTTGAAAACTTACGTAAGGGAAAAAAAAATCATACTAAGTTATTCTAGGACTGTCATTTAGCAATAATGTTTTTAAATTCCTTAGCTCCACAATAGTCTTGCTATTCTCAAAAAGAAAATAAACACTGGATTAGTACAGGTAGCACGTACTAAGTTGATATGAATTTAGGAATGCCTTCAACTAAGGTAAATGATACTGTTCACTTTTACTTCACGATTTCCCAATCTCAGTACTATTCACATTTTGGATCAGATAATTCTTTCTCACGGGGACTGTCCCGTGCATTGTGGACATTTAGCAGCATCCCTATCCTCCACCACTAGATGCCAGTAGCACCCTTCCCCTCAATAAAAGTTGCCTACACAGACCAAATATCTCATGGAGGGCAAAATTGCCCCGGGCTTGAGAAACACTGCAATACTCATTGGGTAAACTCAGTTAAAACCATATTTAATGATTCTCTCTTGGGGATACAAATAAACACAAGGTTCTTCCATTCAAAGAATTTATAAGTAAACATACTATCATCTTTGTTAGAAAACACAGAATACGGCAAATACCACAAAAAGTCGCAAAGGAGTTGTGGTGGGGGATTTACAGATCAGATATCATATATCGGGTCGAGAGAATGGGAAAAGCTTAAAGAGGAAAAGGCAGGTGACTTTTTTTTAATGTGGATCTTTTTTTTTTTTTTTCCGATTGAGGAAGATTGTCCCTGAGCTAATATATGTGCCAATCTTCCTCTATTTTTTGTACATGAGACGCCACCATAGCATGGCTTAATGAGTGGTATATAGCTCCACGCCTGGGATCTGAACCCATGAACCCCGAGCCACCGAAACAGAGCACGAGAACTTAACCCCTACGTCACCGGGCCGGCCCCCTTCTGTGGATTTTTGATGGCGGTGAAGCAAGTGGAGTGTTTCAACTGTTGGGAACTACATATGTAAGAAAAGACATGGAAGTTTGACGTTTGTTTAACACATAGTTCAGTTTTTCTAGGGAATAAGGCTCCTGTAGGAAGACACTAAGAATTCGGGTTGGAAAGGTACCCTGAATTCCTACTGTGTAGAACAGCAGGCTGAGAAGCTGTTTTTAAATCAAAAAACAATAGAGAACCACAGTGGTTTAAAGAGGAGAGTAACAAGATTGGTGCAGCATGTAAAATTAATCCAACAATGGTATTCCTGCCACACTCAACAGAGAGTGAATGTGGGTGGAGAGACCACAGCAGCTTATCTGGAGATCAACTGTGATGGGATCAATTCTGGACATGCTGATTTTGTGTGTCCTAAGGTATCCAAATATTAGGTTGAATCGTACGAAATTTCAGAAAGTCAACAAATTTTGACTTAAAAAATGGAAATTCTATATGATCAACATAATAGAGAAATTTGGCAAGTAATTAGAATTGTGCGTTTGGAGCTCTAAGAAGAGGACAAGGTTATGGATATAAATGTAGTTTTTCAAAGAAATGAAACAGCCAATCCTATGCTAAAAAGAATCTTTTCACCACATACTAAAATAATCGCTCACCAAATTTTATTTCTTACCCATTTTGTGCAAGGTCTATAAGTACTAAATCCTTTTCTAGAAGAACAACCACAGCATATGGTTCCTGAAAATCTGAAATAGGAAAATAATGCATGAACAATAGTTTTATATAGGCAAGAGGACAGAAAATTAGATAATGAGCATTTCATGTTGGGTCTAGATGTTGCTGTGAAGCTATTTTTTAGACGTGATTAACATTTAAATCAGCAGACTCTGAGGAGATTATTCTAGATAATGTGGCGGGCCTCAACCAATCAGCTGAAGGCCTGAAGAGCAAAGACTGAGGTTTTCCGAAAAAGAAGCAATTCTGCCTCAAGACGGCAACATAGAAATCTGCCTGAGTGTCCAGCCTTCAGAATTCCAACTCACGACTGCAACATCAACTCTCCTGAATGCTCAGCCTGCCGGCCTGCTCTGTAAATTCCAGACTTATCAATGTGGGGGATCAGAACTGGCCACCCCAATGTGTGTCTCTTTGGCTTGATTATTTTTAAGAACAAAGGACTCTGAAAGAGACTTTGACCTCTCTGCCAACTGCCTAAAATAATTTAAAATAGAAGGGCCTGTTCCAGGAAGGAGCTAATACCACGGAATAACTGTAATGTAATGTAAAATGTGTCTCTCAGATCACATTGTCTATAGTTGACTCATTTCCATTTCCATCTCCATGTAAATTGCCTTCCTCCCCCCTGAAGTCCCAAACCACTACCCCCAACACCCTCCTTTGTCTTTAGCTAAAAATGGTATTTAAGGTGGCGACCTCAGCCATTCTGGCGAGTTGCTCAGTTTTCCTGGGTTTCTCCCATGTATACATGTTATAAAGCTTTGTTTGATATTCTCCTGTTATTCTGTCTCATGTCAATTTAATTCTTAGGCCAGTCAGAAGGACCTACAGTGGGCAGGGGAATGGTCTTTCTCCTACACCAGCCTCCACAATTGCGTGAACCAATTTCTTAAAATAAATTCTCTCTCTCTCTATTGGTTCTGTTTCTCTGGAGAACCTCGACTACTAAACTAGTATTTTTTAGAATTTTAAAATGTATCTTAATGTGGATAGTTTTGTTTATCCTTCAAAGGCACTTACTACTAATATGTAATACTAAACAGATAAAGCTTATTAAACAAAATTAACTGCTGAAATAAAATTTGCAAAGTTATGAAACCTCTCTCCTCTAGAAAAATTAGTGCAATAGGATAAGGAAACTACCTAGATAACATATATAGGTCTTTGTTCTGAATAACAGATACCTATAGAGAATGAGTTGTAAAGACGCAAAGCTTACCATTTGGGTATGGTGTTTCACACAGGGTCAAAAAATCAACAATGGAATAGTCCATTTCTAACACGGCAGTACTTTTCCCATGCATGACTGTTAAGCAAGGTCTTCTTCCTACAGTATCATATGACAAACCTCCTGATAAAATAATAAAAGGCTCCCTGGAAATAAAATACATGGTTAGGATTATAAATAGCAGAGTGGAGACGAATTATTTTTTCGCTGTATCATCAATTTTTTATTTAGTGAAATAAAATCTTAAATTCTAACATTTTTATGCATCATTTAATTCAATACTTGCATGTGAGTTTTTAATTACATTAGGTAAGACCCAGGTGAATTCCTGAAGATTAACCTACGGTAAGAATGAACATTGACCACATTTGACTCTCATACCTCCCCTTGCTCCCTAAATATTTTTCCTTTATCCTCTTTAAACCATTGTCAAAAAAAGTTCTCTCTGGGTTTCTGCTGCGAAGTCTCTTCAATGAACTGCCTTTATTTCCAATCCTAATAACCAGGCCTTCTCAACAGAAGTTCCGAGAGAGAACGTGAATGCCCGAAGGCATCCACTGCATGTAATGAATTAACTTCTCACTGACGCATCAAGAATGTACCAGCTACAAATTACCCTTGAGAAAACTGAGAAAACAAGTCACTCAAATCATTTTCTGAAGGGCTTAACTCTCTCCTGGAACCTTGGTTGGTGTGCTCACAGCTCCCATGCCAGCTTACCACTTCTAATGAGCCCTCCAACTCTGTCTCCCTATTAGTCAATATTAATTTTAATGATTTATCCAGACCCACTTTATAAAACTGGACATCTACGCAAACACCAAAAAAACGAAGTATCTTTTCATATGTTTTGGTGTGAGTGCATTTCTTCATCTTTGATTTGCCTACTCGTGTTTTTTGTCCATATTTTCATTGGTTTAGTAATCTTTTTCTAATTGGTTTGTAAGAGTTCTTTGCATTCTAAGGAGACTGGCTCTTCATCTGCGACATGTATCTTCCCATTTGTTGGTGAGGAAGCTGTTTCTGTTACGTTATACAGATGGTTTAAAATGTTCTGTATGTGACTTTCTTAAATCTCTTCATTAGTGATTTTTTAGGCAGTTTCTTAATGCCTACTCTAAGGCCAGTATATCTATCTCCCTCCTCTTCACAGCTAGTAGGAGCAGTATCTAATAATATGTCATGGTTAAAAGTGCTAGTTCTGGAGCTAAACTGCCTGCATTTAAATCTCAGCTTTGGCTTTACTTTCTGTGTGATCTTGGACAAGGTGCTTAACCTCTCTGTGCTTACCTTCTGCATCTATAAAATGGAGCAGAGTAATACGTATCTACCCTCAGACAATTATTGAATTAATTAATATACTCAAAGACTGGCGTCAATGCCTGGCACACAGTACAACCTTAGTAAGATTTACCTATTATGACTGTTATTATCATCAAATCATCATTTTTATCAATTGCAAAAGTTTCTCTTCTTGTGATATGTGGAAAGAAACACTGCAACTTCTAAATCATATTTTTTTTAACCTAAAACAAGAATAAATAAACCCCACTAAAATTTACTTAGAGTAGTAGTGTTACAGGTCTGTAATTTATAAGTAAATATAAATATTAGGTCTAATAACTCAATTGTTTTTTAATACTTAAACATTTACCTATTTAAAATATATAAAAGAACATATGTGTAGATAGCTGTGTTTGTGTGTGTAGTATTTTCTTATTTAAAACTGTACCCTCATGTAGCCCTGTTTTCCTTCTTTATTTTTTTCATAGCATTTATCACTAAAACTAATTTATTTATTTTGCTTATTGTTTTTCTCATGAAAGTGTAAGTTTTACAAGAGCAAGTGGTTTCTTTTGTTGTTGTTGTTTTTGTGAGGAAGATCAGCCCTGAGCTAACATCCATGCCAATCCTCCTCTTTTTTGCTGAGGAAGACTGGCCCTGGGCTAACATGTGTACCCATCTTCCTCTACTTCATGTGGGACGCCTCCACAGCATGGCCTGACAAGCGGTGCATCAGTGCAGGCCCGGGATCTGAACCCAGGCCTGCCACCAGCGGAGCGCGCGCACTTAACCGCTATGTCACAGGGCCAGCCCCGAAGGGCAAGTGGTTTTATCCATTTCGTTCACTGCTGTATCCAAAACAGTGTCTCAAGGGTAAATGAAAGAAAAGAAATGTATGTTACATTAACCATTAAGACAATGGTTAATGTCTAAAAGCTTACTATCACTTAGATTTTTCACCACTAAACTGATTTGGGTAATCTTATTTTTCCAGCTAAGTGACAGTAACCAGAGCTTAAAATTTTGTCATGAATAGAACTACACCCATATATTCATTGTTTCAATCTCTTAGCATACTGTGATTATTGTGACTGTGGTCAGGAAAGTATATTTAATTCTTCCACTTTTTATCACATATAATGAATAAATGGCATATATCTCCTTTCTTCTGTACTTTGAAAGACAGTATATACAGCTAAATATAAAATACTAGGAAAAAGGGTGAAGAGTCCAACAACTTAAACTTTTACAGAGCAGGAGGCCCCAGCCAGGCATTTTATATGTAATATTTCAAGAATGGTCTGATGAGTATGTTTTTACATATAGCCAACTTAAAAAAAAAAAAGTATTATTAATGTAAGAACCATGAACAGAGAGATGCTGAGTTACATTACAGAATAAAATTTCCATAGAGATACCAGGTAGGCGACCAGTTTATTAGATAGTTAAACTGTTAGCACGGTATTATAACACCTTGGCAATTAGGCAGGTTTATCCTCAACTAAGTATTTGTTCAGTGGCCTTGTAAGCTGCCTGTACTTCTTTTCTAAACTTGTGAAAAAATACACAATGAAAATAACATAGATGAAAATATATGGATAAGAAATAGTTTGAAAAGGATACCACGGTAACATTCTTTTTCATAATAAAAGTTTCCCAAATGCAGCAACAAATGCATATATATATTTTTTTTCTTTTTCTTATTTTATGTACTGCTTTTAAAAACATCATCTAAGTTTGCCAGGCAGGAATCACCTAACCTACGAACACCTCACTAAGTTATATTTTTTTCATTATAATGTTCCAATTCTTGAAGGGTAAATATCAATGAAATGAATATTTTACAAGAAAGAATTAGTCGTAAAAACAATGGTAACGTTAAATATTTTAACACTAGACGTTAATATTTCAAGAATAGTCTGAAAATTACAAAATTATAAAAATTCAAAGTTTTTGTTGGCGTTTGGAATTATATTAAAAGTTCTCGGGATCTACATTATTTCTAGGTAATATGTGAATTATGTAAGTGGAGAATCTTCTTTTTTTAAATAAAAGATTAGCCTTTTTGATGTTATAATAATGTCTGTAAGTAGTATAATTTTTATTCCATTACTTTATGTAGAATTCCTTTTAACGATGTTGGGTGTTACCCAAGACCCGCATTTTTTGAAGACATCCAAATCAGGAAGGTGTTGATTTGGAGATTTTATAATTTTGGTTGGAATTTTTGAGAAGCTAGACACTTCAGGGAAGTCTATATGCTTCCTTCTTCTGATTAACCTCCCCAGGGTGGCCTTGACAATAGGTTTGGCTGAAGTTGTGTTTCCATATGAGGCATTCTTGACTTAAACGAGGCACTTCTACCCCAAGAGCCATTTGCATAATGAATTTGCACAACTCCGCTCCATAATACTACCCATTCATTCACTCAAATAGTTTTTCAGCACCTGTATTCCTGAGAATAAGACAGTGCTCTCACGTCTGGTCTAGACAGACAATAAACACACTGTGATGTGTTATGAAGAAAATAACACAAGGTAGAGTGATGGGCTGGCTGTGAGCGAGGGGCTGGAGGGGTTACTGTAAGACAGAGGCTCAGGACAGGCCCCTGAAGCAAAGACAGATGAGCTGAGACCAGAATGAAGAGGAGCCAGCCACTCAAAGACCTCGGGGTTGGGGGAGAAGGATGTACATTCTCGGCAGAATAACCGTTGCAAAGACCCCAAGTCAGGAACAAGCTTGGCGTATCTCAGGAACTGAAAGGCCGGGATGGCTGCAACAGAGAGAGTGAGGCAGTACACGGTAACAGATGACATGACCCTAAATCCTGTAAACACATCCTGTTGACTCTACTAGGATCTCAAGAACCTGTCTCCTCCGTTTCATCCCCACTGTTACTTTAGTACTGGCCCCGATAACCTGCAGCTTACGTTATTACAAGAGCATTTGTACAAGTTGTTCACCGCCTGAGATACACTTCCCCTCGTTGTTGTTTGGCTAATTCCTATTCCTCCTTTAAAACTCAGTCCAATCATTATCTCCTCAGAAAAACCTTTCCTGACTCATCCACCCTGACTGAGTTGGGTGCCCTTCATGGGTTCCTAAGTTCTCTCCACATACCTCTTTTTCAGCATTTACCACGCTGAATTGTCACTGTTTATCTCCTCTTCCTTTGCATCATGAGCTCCTTCAGGACCCAGAATGTATATTTTACCTCTGCACTACCAGGTTGTAGCTAAGTATCCCAAAAAGTGTGTCAAATACCCATTTTCAATACCACTAAACCTACTGCTCGGCTGGTCACTGGTGCCAGACTTCCTGAAGCAGAAATGCTGTAGGAGGGCCAGCATCTCAGGCGGCTCCAGCACACGGCCAGATTGGGAAGAACTGTCTAAAGGCGTCTGAAATTTAACTGTTGTGCTATTCTGATGCTCTTTCTGCACAGACTCCCACTTATGTTATTCACTACATCTATACATTTTTAAAATTGGAATTTAAGCTCTAAATAGTCAATCTCATATGCCATTGATTTATATAACTAATCTTTTCAAATTCTCCAACTTTTTTCAAATAGAGATATGCCACTCTATTTCAGAGGGAACACCAATGTATTTGGTGAGGAGAACTGTACCTTAGCTCTTGAAAGCTACCTGGTAACAAATACCTTATCTTTACCACTCTAATCCCAGTGCTCAGCACAAGGTCTAAAGACATACATACTTAGTGAATGAATTAAAAATGACTGATTTCTAGGAGACCCTATATCAAATTTCTAACATTCTTAGTTCAAATTTCAAATGTAAATTATGATTACCTAATGGAATAGTCTAATGGAAATCTATGCAACTATGATCTCATATTT